ATAACAAGCGTTGATGAGGATGTGGAGAGATGGGAAACCCTCATGCATTGCTGATGGAAATGTAAAACGGTACAGCCGCTTTGGAACAGTTCGTCAGTGTCTTAAAAAGCTAAACTTGGAGAGTATTATGCTGAATACATGACCCAGCAAGAGTGGGGTCCCTACAGATCCACAGGCAGTGTGGCTCCCCGGTATTGTAGGAAGACATCCATTGTCCACAGTATGGGCTGGACCAATTCTCATGAAGCCAGAGAGAGTTTACACAGGCAGTCAACCTTACTGCCCATCCCTCCCACCTGGAAGGGCAGCTACCTTACAGCGGATGTGTTTGACCTCTGGATGGTCTCTTGGGGAATCTCAGGGAAAGCTGCAGGCCCAACGCCTCTAGCACTTGGCCAAGTTCTCTCAGGCTTCCCTAGTTTCTAGATCCTGGTTAAATATACAGTAAAACCTGCAAAAGCCAGAACCTGTGTAAGGCAGAAGCCTATCAGAGAAGGAAAACTCAAATATTTTCCATTAAAACGAGCAATAGAAAAGTGGTAAGACTGCACCCTGTCAAAGGTGGAGAACTTGCGAGGCCCAGAGAAACAAGGCAGTCCGGTGGGGTTCTGACTCTCACAGGTTTCCCTGTGTAGTGCTTACGAGGCTGGGATGACCTGGAGACTGTTTTCCAGGGGAGTGTTATGTGGAAGCCACACACCTCTCCTCCAAGGGTGAGTCACAGCAGCTGAAAGAAATCAGAGTTCTCCAGGGAATAGGAAAGTCCAAGGGCCCAAAGGCACCCTCTGACGGAAGGGAGAGATAAAGGACACAGACCAGCTCAAGCTCCTCAGGGCGGGGTTGGGGGGGGGGTGCCTGGGAAGTCCACACAACTGTCCCCTTCCTCCTCTGCAGTCTCTTTTCTTGTACTAAAGACAGCGCCAGCCACCTGAGGGTCTCTAGCAATGCTAATCCTCATCCAGGTGCCACTCAACTGGAGAGTCTTGAACCACCCATAATGGCCTCTGTCACACCTCCATTTCCCTGTAATTACTCCTTGAAAGGGACTGAGGACCATCAGTGGTCTCCCCTCAGAGGAATACCTGCAACCTCACCCATGCCTTACAGAAGCAGAAGGATCAGTGTGGCAATCCTGCGAACAAAGGCATCCTAGGTCTACCTAGAAAATATCACCTTTCCACCCATCCAAAAATAAGCCTTTCTTTGGGCTGCTTCGTCACCACACTCCAGTGATTACAGCAGTACGTGTAAGCACCACAGTGCTCAGGGGTGATGTTTTTATAAGTTCTATTGCAAACACCTTCTCACAGAGATTTATTTATACTGCAGCTATACAAACCTTCCCAGCATGGAACCTAGCATAAAAGAGTTCAGCCTGAGGAAACTTTTGTAAAACTAGTTGGAGGAAAACAAATTAATTTAGTAATCTCCCTATAATGGAAAGAGAATGGACATCAAAGGAGAGTGCATTTGATCTTAGACGCTGCTTCCTATTATGCCGATAAAAACGATTTGGGAATACGTGTCTGAAGGGCATTGTTTCAAGGCTCTTTTTTATTGTAGCCCACTCAACTGTATTCTGTTCTTAAATGGCAGCCCTCTGAAACACTACCGAACTAAAGGAAATTTGGGGGTTCTCAAAAAAAAAAAAAGCTTCACATATAAATACCCAAAGTGACTGGTCACCCACTGTGTTTGAACCTGCCCACCGTGTGTGTGTGTGGGGAGGGGAAGCATCCTGATGTCTAGGTTACCTCCAGTGAAGGCTTCACAACGTCACAGGCACCGACTCAACGCCCGCAGGTGCACGGCACTGTGCCAAGGAAGCATTGCTCCTGCAGGGTGTCTCCTTGCAGCGTCCAACAACCCCAGCAGAGATGCTATTGCAGAGGAAACTGAGGCTTTCAGGGGTTAAATTCTTTGTTCAAGATTGTTGTTAGTTGCCTCAGAGTGGATTCCGACTTATGATCACCCCATGTGAGCAGAGCAGAACTGCTCCACAGGGTTTTCAAGGCTGTGACCGATC